ACTGAGGGGAAATGGGGGGGATTGAGGGAAATGAGGGGACTTGAGTGAAAGGGGAGAAAATACTTGAGGAACAATGGAGGAAATAATTGAGGAAAAATGGAGGAAATAGTGGAAAAATGGAGGGAATTGAGGGAAAAGGGAGGGAATTGAGGGAAATGAGGGGAATTGAGGGAAATGAGGGGAATTGAGGGGAATTGAGGGAAATGGAGGGAATTGAGGGAAAATGAGGGGAATTGAGGAAAATGAGGGGAATTGAGGAAAATGGGGGGAATTGAGGAAAATGGGGGGAATTGGGGGAAAATGGGGGGAATTGAGGGAAATGGAGGGGAATTGGGGGAAATGGAGGGAATTGAGGAAAACGAGGGGAATTGAGGGAAATGAGGGGAATTGAGGGAAAATGGGGGGAATTGAGGGAAAATGGGGGGAATTGAGGGAAACGAGGGGAATTGAGGAAAACGAGGGGAATTGAGGGAAATGAGGGGAATTGAGGGAAATGAGGGGAATTGAGGGAAATTGGGGGGAATTGAGGGAAATTGGGGGGAATTGAGGAAAAACGGAGGGAATAGAGGGAAAATGGAGGAAATAATTGAGATAAAATGTAGGGAATCGAGGGAAAATGGAGGGAATTGAGGGAAAATGGGGGGAATTGAGGGAAACGAGGGGAATTGAGGAAAACGAGGGGAATTGAGGGAAATGAGGGGAATTGAGGGAAATGAGGGGAATTGAGGGAAATTGGGGGGAATTGAGGGAAATTGGGGGGAATTGAGGAAAAACGGAGGGAATAGAGGGAAAATGGAGGAAATAATTGAGATAAAATGTAGGGAATCGAGGGAAAATGGAGGGAATTGAGGGAAAATGGGGGGAATTGAGGGAAACGAGGGGAATTGAGGAAAACGAGGGGAATTGAGGGAAATGAGGGGAATTGAGGGAAATGAGGGGAATTGAGGGAAATTGGGGGGAATTGAGGGAAATTGGGGGGAATTGAGGAAAAACGGAGGGAATAGAGGGAAAATGGAGGAAATAATTGAGATAAAATGTAGGGAATCGAGGGAAAATGGAGGGAATTGAGGGAAATTGGGGGGAATTGAGGGAAATGAGGGGAATTGAGGAAAACGAGGGGAATTGAGGGAAAATGGGGGGAACTGAGGGAAAATGGGGGGGATTGAGGGAAAATGGAGGGAATAATTGAGGGAAAATGGAGGGAATAATTGAGGGAAAATGGAGGGAATGGTGGAAAAACGGAGGGAGTTGAGGGAAAACGGAGGAAATAATTGAGATAAAATGTAGGAAATTGAGGGAAAATGGAGGAAATAATTGAGATTAAATGGAGGGAATGGTGAAAAAACGGAGGAAATTGAGGGAAAATGGAGGAAATTGAAGGAAAGTGGTGGAAATAATTAAAAAAAAAAACCAACAAGGAGGGAATAGTGGAAAAATGGAGGAAATAGAGCAAAAGTGGACCCCCACCCTCAGCCCTCCCCTCCTCTTACGGCATCCCGAGGGCGTCCTCCAGTCGTGCACCACGGCCCCCTGCTTCCTGCACGTGGCGGCGTAGGACTCCAGCACCTTGCAGAGGATCTGCTTGGCCCCTTTGCTCATGCAGACGTCGTAGAGGCAGTTGCGGTAGAAATCCCGGGGTGGGACGAGGTGGTGGCAACCTTGGAAGGGCCCCTGGTAGCCCTTTTTGATGAGGCCGCAGAACTGGTTGCCCCCGTAGAGCTCCTTCTCCTCCTCCTCGCAGAAGGGGCAGTCGCCTTCACAATAATCCCAGCAAAAGGGGTCGTCCTCCTCGGGGGCTTTCCAGTTTTGGGCCCAGGCCACCACGGCTGGGAGGTCTTGGCCACCCTGGGGGAGGTCGTGGCCACCTTGTGGGTGGTCATTTCCACCCTGAGGGCCGTCATCCTCGGGCTTGAGGTTGAAGTTGCCGCAGAGGCCACGGACGTGTCGGTAGTAGCTGCTGGGGAGGTCGAGGAGGAGGTGCCAGTTCCAGTCGTAGGTGACCCGCAGCCCGAAATCTGTCTCCACCACGGCGCTGAGCCCGCTCTGGGTCACCCGCACCTTCCCTTCCTCCAGGGTCACCGGCAGCAGCGTCACCACCCCGTTCACCTGCGGGTGGCCACCGTCGTGTGGTCACGTTCCAGCAGCGTGAAAGTGGCCACAGGAGCGTGAAATCACGTTCCCGGGGGAGGGAGGGGGGTGGTTTGGCCCCTGGAAGGCTGAAGAGTTTGGCCAAAACCGACCATTTCCCCTCCCTTTTAGGTCAACTCAAGGTCGAGTTGACCTAAAATGGCCATTTCCCCGCCTTTTTAGGCCAACTCAAGGTCAAGTTGGGCCTAAAACAGCCATTTCCCCAACCTTTTAGGCCAACTCGACCTTGAGTTGACCTAAACTGGCCATTTCCCCTCCTTTTTAGGCCAACTCAAGGTCGAGTTGGGCCTAAACCGGCCATTTCCCCTCATTTTGAGGCCAACTCAAGGTCGAGTTGGGCCTAAAACGGCCATTTCCCCTCCTTTTTAGGCCAGCTCAAGGTCGAGTTGGGCCTAAAATGGCCATTTCCTCTCATTTTGAGGCCAGCTCATGGTCGAGTTGACCTAAAATGGCCATTTCCCCGCCTTTTTAGGCCAACTCAAGGTCAAGTTGGGCCTAAAACAGCCATTTCCCCAACCTTTTAGGCCAACTCGACCTTGAGTTGACCTAAACTGGCCATTTCCCCTCCTTTTTAGGCCAACTCAAGGTCGAGTTGGGCCTAAACCGGCCATTTCCCCTCATTTTGAGGCCAACTCAAGGTCGAGTTGGGCCTAAAACGGCCATTTCCCCTCCTTTTTAGGCCAGCTCAAGGTCGAGTTGGGCCTAAAATGGCCATTTCCTCTCATTTTGAGGCCAGCTCATGGTCGAGTTGACCTAAAATGGCCATTTCCCCGCCTTTTTAGGCCAACGCAAGGTCAAGTTGGGCCTAAAACAGCCATTTCCCCAACCTTTTAGGCCAACTCGACCTTGAGTTGACCTAAACTGGCCATTTTCCCTCCTTTTTAGGCCAACTCAAGGTCGAGTTGGGCCTAAAACGGCCATTTCCCCTCATTTTGAGGCCAACTCAAGATCTTGTTGGGCCTATAATGGCCATTTCCCCTCCTTTTTAGGCCAACTCAAGGTCGAGTTGGGCCTAAAATGGCCATTTCCCCTCATTTTGAGGCCAGCTCAAGGGTGAGTTTGGCCTAAACCGGCCATTTTCCCTCCCTTTTACACCAACTCAAGGGTGAGTCGACCTAAAACAGCGATTTCCCCTCCCTTTGAGGCCAAGTCAAGGTTGAGTTGACCTAAAACAATCGTTTCCTTTCCCTTTGAGACCAACTCATGGTCAAGTTGGCCAAAACCGGCCATTTTCCCTCGTTTTGAGGCCAACCCAAGGTCTGGTTGATCCTAAACCAGCTGTTTCTCCTCCCTTTGAGGCCAACTCACCCTGACTTTGCCCACTTCCCTCCGGCGGATGGTGATCTCTTGGCCGTAGACCTTGACCTTGGCCAAGCTGACGTAGGAGACGCTTTTCACCCCACCTCGGACGTCGTTCTTGCCCTCCACCTTGAAGGGCACCAGGCTGGTGTCGTTCCCGTGGGATTCGGCCATGGTGTAGGTGCAGGTGCCTTGGAAGTCGAAGTCCAGGCCGTCGAAGGTGTGGTAGTGGGGGTCCCCCCAAGCCCAGCAGGTGGCAACCAGGGATGGGACGCACTTGGCTTGGCCGTCCTTAAACTTGCACCTCTCCTTGGACCGGCACCGAAGGGCTTTGCAGGGATCTGGATGGAGGAGAAACCATGGGAGAAACCACAGGAGATGCCCGGGTGATGGACATGTCCCATGTCACACTCTTCACCGGCGCTGAGGTCCCACCAAGTGTCCTCTGCCCCCACTTGGGCTTCAGCTCCATGATGTCAAACCAAGAGCTCAACAATCCAAATGGCCATTTCCCCTACCTTTTAGGCCAACTCGACCTTGAGTTGACCTAAAATGGCCATTTCCCCGCCTTTTTAGGCCAAGTCAAGGTCAGGTTGGACTGAAAATGGCCATTTCCCCTACCTTTTAGGCCAACTCGACCTTGAGTTGACCTAAACTGGCCATTTCCCCTCCTTTTTAGGCCAACTTGGGCTTCAGCTCCATGATGTCAAACCAAGAGCTCAACAATCCGTCGCCAAACCCCAAATTTCCCCTTTTCAGCTGCTTTTTTCCCCCTCCCTTCGTTGCTCGGAAAAGGGTTTGTCGTTACCCCAGATTGTCCCTGTCCTTCGAGAAGGTGCCACCGGGGTTAAAATGGGACATCGGGAGGGACACACAAAGCCAAGAGGTGGCTTTTCTGAAGGGCTTTGACCCTTCCAAAGTCCTCCCACCACAATTCCTGACCCTCTTGGGGTTGGAGACGGGATCTGGGGGGTCCGTGTCCCCTGGGTGGAGGGTTCTTTCCCCTCATCCCCCACCTCTAAATTAAAGAGGAGCAGCTCCAGTTCCAAAACCTTTCCTTTTTTTTCTTGTTTTTCGCTCAAAAAACCCCATTTTTTTTTTTTTTTCCTTACTTTGATTGATGCAGCCCAAGACCCCCTCCCGGATCTCGCAGGTCTCGTCCTCGGTGCAGTTGTGGCCGCTGCAGGTCAAGCCCTCGCCGGGGACACAGGTGCAACGTTGTTGGCAGTTGTCCCTCAGGATCCACTCGTGGGGCTGTTGGGGGGTGAGAAGCGCAAAATTTACCCATAAATGCAGAAAAACCCATTAGAAAGGGGAAAAAAAACATATATCGAGAGAGAAAAAGGCATGGAAAGTTCCAAATTGCGGAGGAATTTATCATTTGTGCTGTGAGGAAAAAAAAAATAGGTAGAAAAACCCCCGACATTTTTCCCTTTTCCACCTTTTCTGAAGGAAAAATGTGTTATTTAACGCGAGAGATGGAAACGCCCTGATTTTCTTCACCTGAAACCACGGAATCGCGTGGAAGACGGAAAAAATTGAGGGGGTTTTCCCACCCAGGGCCTTCGGAGGAGAGGAAAACCTAAAACCCCCCCCAAATTACCCCAAAATGCAGGAGATTTCTACCTTGTGATACTCCCCGTCCCCGAAGCATCCGCACTCCTCCTGGGGAACGCAGCCCAAGCCATCGAAGACCAACCCTTGGTGGCACTCGCAGCCTTCCAGGCAGGGTTGGGGACATTTGGAAGGGTCTACCAGCCCCGCGCAGCTCTTGGGGCAGAGGTTGGTGCAGAGGGAGTAGGTGCTGTTGGCCGGGCACCTGAGGGCTGGAAGGAGAAGGAAGGGTTGGTCATCCCAAAAATCGTCCCATGGTGGTGGAGAAGGGTTGAGGAGAAACCCTGGGAGAAGGACTTGGGGGTGTTGGGGGGTGAGGAGCTTTTATTTGGGGAGAGGGGAAGGGAGAAGAACTTGCACGTGGGAGAAGAACTTCCATGTAGGGGGGGAAGAATGTCCTTCTGGGAGAAGAAATTCCATGTGGGGAAAAAAATTTCCAGGTGGGAGAAGAACTTCCATGTTGGAGAAGAACTTCCACATGGGACAAGAAATTCAAAGTGGGAGAACTTCCTCATGGGAGAAGAAATTCCATGTGAGAGAAGAACGTGCATGTGGGAGAAGAACTTCCACGTGGGAGAAGAACTTCCACGTGGCAGTAGAAGTTCCACATACAGAAGGATGTCCACATAGGAGAAGAACTTCCATGTGGGAGAAAAATTTCCACGTGGAAGAAGAACATCCTGGTGGGAGAAGACCTTCCACGTGGGAGAAGAATTTCCTTGTGGGAGAACTTCCACACAGGGGAAGAACATCCATGTGGGAGAAGAAATTCAACATACAAGAAGAACGTCCATGTGGGAGAATTTCCACATTGGAGAAGAACTTCCTTGTGGGAGAAGAAGGTCCTTGTGAGAAAAGAACGTCCTCATGGGAGAAGAAATTCCACATGGGTGAAAAATTTCCACTTGGGAGAAGAAGTTCCACGTGGCAGAAGGACATCCTTGTGGGAGAAGAACATCCAAGTGGATGAAGAACTTCCACATGGGAGAACATCTGTGTGGAAGAAGAAATTCCACATGGGAGAAGAACTTCCACATGAGAGAAGAAATTCCATATGGGAGAAGAAATTCCATATGGGAAAAGAACTTCAAAGAAATTCCATATGGGAGAAGAACATCCTTGTGGGAGAAGAACATCCTTGTGGGAGAAGAACACCCAAGTGGGTGAAGAACTTCCACGTGGGAGAAGAACGTCCAGGTCGGAGAACATCCTCATGGGAGAAGAAAGTCCTCATGGGACAAGACCTTCCACTTGGGAGAAGAACGTCCTCGTGGGAGAAGAACGTCCTTGTGGGAGAACTTCCATGTGGGAGAAGAATGTCCACATGAGAAAAGAACGTCCACATGGGAGAAGAACTTCAATGTGGGAGAAGAACCTCCACATGGGAGAAGAACATCCTTGTGGGAGAAGAACATCCAAGTGGGTGAAGAACTTCCACGTGGGAGAAGAACATCCATGTGGAAGAAGAAATTCCACATGGGAGAAGAATGTCCAGGTCGGAGAAGAACATCATCATGGGAGAAGTCCATGTGGGAGAAGAACTTCTTCATGGAAGAAGAACGTCCTCATGGGACAAGACCTTCCACTTGGGAGAAGAACGTCCTCGTGGGAGAAGAACGTCCTTGTGGGAGAACTTCCATGTGGGAGAAGAATGTCCACATGAGAAAAGAACGTCCACATGGGAGAAGAACTTCAATGTGGGAGAAGAACCTCCACATGGGAGAAGAACATCCTTGTGGGAGAAGAACATCCAAGTGGGTGAAGAACTTCCACGTGGGAGAAGAACATCCATGTGGAAGAAGAAATTCCACATGGGAGAAGAATGTCCAGGTCGGAGAAGAACATCATCATGGGAGAAGTCCATGTGGGAGAAGAACTTCTTCATGGAAGAAGAACGTCCTCATGGGACAAGACCTTCCACTTGGGAGAAGAACGTCCTCGTGGGAGAAGAACGTCCTTGTGGGAGAACTTCCATGTGGGAGAAGAATGTCCACATGAGAAAAGAACGTCCACATGGGAGAAGAACTTCCATATCCTCATGGGAGAAGAATTTCCATGTGGGAGAAGAACTTCCTCATGGGAGAAGAACTACCATGGAGGATGGAGAACATTTCCCACCCGTGCCCCTCTCCTCCCCACCAACTTACGGCAGAAGGAAGGTCTTCTCCAAGCCCCAATGATGCCACCAGCATCTTGGCAGGCGGTGGCGTAGCTCTGGATGCTCTGGCAGAGGACCTGGGTGTCCCCTTCGGCCAGGCAGAGGTCGTGGAGGCAGGTTTGGAAGTACAAGGTGGGGTCGATGAGGTGGTGGCAGGAGCCAAAGGGACCTTCTGGGACGGTGAGGAGGCCACAGTAGTTGGATTTCTGGAGGACCACCTTCTTCTCCTCGCTGCAGACGGGACAGTCCTCCTGGGAACAGTCATCGCTGCAAGGAGCTTCGGATGTTTTCCAGGCGGAGCCAAAGGCCACCGCGTTGGGGGCCAGTTGGCCACCGGGGAGGAGGAAGTCATCGTCCTGTTGCCCATTGTAGTTGCCACAGAGCCCGCAGAGGTGGCCCTGGTAGCTCTGCGGGACGGTGACCGTCACGTGGTGGAGGAGGTCGTAGCGTACGACGAGGCCGAAGTCGGTCTGAAGAAGGACGTCTATCCCGTGTTGGTGCACCCAGACCCGGCCCTGGCTCAGGGTGACCGGGAGGTGGTGGGATATGGAGTCCACCTGGGATGAAGGGAGAACCTCCAGTGACCCCCAAGGAGGCCACAAGGAGGAAGCTCTTGGAAGTAGGAACCCCCATTGAGGTGGGGGGAAGAACCTTCCACCCAGCCTTCTCATGGCTCCACTCGACCTCCTCATGGCTCCACCCGACCTTCTCATATCTCCACCTGACCTTCTCATGGCTCCACCCAACCTCCTCATGGCTCCACCTGGCCTCGGGAGGTGGTGGGATATGGAGTCCACCTGGGATGAAGGGAGAACCTCCAGTGACCCCCAAGGAGGCCACAAGGAGGAAGCTCTTGGAAGTAGGAACCCCCATTGAGGTGGGGGGAAGAACCTTCCACCCAGCCTTCTCATGGCTCCACTCGACCTCCTCATGGCTCCACCCGACCTTCTCATATCTCCACCTGACCTTCTCATGGCTCCACCCAACCTCCTCATGGCTTCACCCGGCCTCCTCATGGCTCCACCCGACCTCCTCATGGCTCCACCTGACCTTCTCATGGCTCCACCCGACCTCCTCATGGCTCCACCTGACCTCCTCATGACTCCACCTGACCTTCTCATGGCTCCACCTGACCTCCTCATGACTCCACCTGACCTTCTCATGGCTTCACCCAACCTCCTCATGGTTCCACCTGACCTTCTCATGGCTTCACCAACCTTCTCATGACTCCACCTGACCTCCTCATGGCTCCACCTGACCTCCTCATGGTTCCACCTGACCTTCTCATGGCTCCACCTGACCTCCTCATGGCTCCACCTGACCTCCTCATGGTTCCACCCAACCTTCTCATGGCTCCACCTGACCTCCTCATGACTCCACCTGACCTTCTCATGGCTTCACCCAACCTCCTCATGCTTCCACCTGACCTTCTCATGGCTCCACCTGACCTTCTCATGAATTTATGGCTCCCACTTTGAAACTGGAAGGCAAAGTGGGAACGAGGGTGGCTTTGTCTTGGAGATCAGGGAGAAGGTCTCTGCTCTATCAAGGGACAATGAGTTTTGGGGTCCCAGGTTCTCACCTGAGAAGAAGTGGACCCCAAAACATGGCTTTAGTGTGACCACGGTCTTGCTTCACACCAGAGTCAATAGACTTTGGTGGCCACCATGGTTTGCAACCCAAAAGAGGTCCATCCCCCCCTTCCAGGACAGGTCCCTTGTCACCTCCCAATGAGGTCAACATGGGCCTGGAGATGTCACCACCCCAGCATTTGCACCCAAGAAGAGATGGACCACAGAGCTCCCCTGTGGTGGTTCCCCCCTTCCGCTGGTGTAAAGATCAACATCAACCTCAAGATCAACCATCAACGTCAATCCATAGAGTTTGACACTGGGATGTTCCACCAGAAAGAGATGGAACCACCACGCGTGGTCCCACCACCGCTGTGTCCCTCTTGTCCCCTCAACATGAGCCCCACAGATCTTGTCACCAGAAAGAGGTGGAACCACCATGCACGGACCCACCACCACTGTGTCCCTCGTGTCGCCCCATGGTAAATGTCAACGTGAGCCCCACAGACTTTGTCACCAGAAAGAAGGTGGAACCACCACATGTTCCACCAGAAAGAGGTGGAACCACCACACGTGGTCCCACCACCACTTTGTCCCTCTTGTCCCCTCAACATGAGCCCCACAGACCTTGTCACCAGAAAGAAGGTGGAACCACCACATGTTCCACCAGAAAGAGGTGGAAACACCACATGTGGTCCCACCACCACTGTGTCCCTCTTGTCCCCCCCATGTGAGCCCCACAGATCTTGTCACCAGAAAGAAGGTGGAACCACCACATGTTCCACCAGAAAGAGGTGGAACCACCACGTGTGGTCCCACCACCACTGTGTCCCTCTTGTCCCCTCAACGTGAGCCCCACAGACCTTGTCACCAGAAAGAGGTGGAACCACCACGCGTGGACCCACCACCACTGTGTCCCTCGTGTCCCCCCCAACATGAGCCCCACAGACCTTGTCACCAGAAAGAGTTGGGCCTCCAAAAAAGTGCCACCTTACCATGACGTGTCCCCGCTTGCCGCGCGTCAACCGCAAGGTG